GGGGGGTGGGGGGGGGGGGGGGGGGGGGGGCACTTAGCACCATACCAATGACTCCTACATAAGGATTAGAATTATTTGTGCAGTTCGGATTTAGTATTATAATATGCCTTGGTAAACAGTAACTGTTATTCTTTTACATGAAAAGACCATTTTATCTCAGTAGCTAATTCATTCAACTGCCTTTTAGCCGAAGTCTTTAAATATCTATCGACTCTTTTACCAAAATTACAGAACATTGATCAACCCTACCTCATAAATCCATAAGGGGAGTTCTTCACGAGTAGGGTGCCATATCTGTACTTACGTCACTTCTATTTAAAGTTCAGACCTAGAATTTATCAGAATGGTAACTCCAGAATGACATCCATAGCCTCTTGGGAAAAAAACAAACACATATCTTATCGCGCGTGCTTTCTCGCTCTTTACTCGTGTCTATTCACCCTTGAAAGGAGATTTCCCAGTAATAAAAACGAACTGAAAGCTCGAAATTGCCATGAACACGAGACAGACCAGGTGCCAGGGTCAGGGGAGTCTCCATCGGTGTGATTGTGCAAAGCCACCGAGAATCCAAAATACGAAGGACGAAGATTTTTCCCACTGAAGATTCCGGGGTCTTCGAAGATCACAGGATGCTTGACGTCCACGTTAAACGGGAAAACGGGACAAAGGAGGGCCAAGAAAGCGAAGAAGAACTTCAAAGTCATGCTGTGACGACACACTCGCGCCAGGACGTAGCTCGTCCGCAGACTGACACGGACACGGTACACATCCAGCACGCCCGCACGCAGGAGAGCAGGGGAGCGAAAGGAAGCAAGCGAGAGTTGCCCCTACGTTCACTGAAGATAGGGCTCATAATTCCATGATATGAGAGGAAAAAGCCCACGCGGCTCCGAGATGCCTCATGCTGGACAACTCATCGACGACTTCCGAGAAACTCTCGCACGGAAGTGGCGTTTCCGGTTCAGTTGTACAATCCCAGTTTGGTTCTCTACTTCCCCCTCCCCTCCCCCCCCATTTTTTTTTATCCCTGACTTTTCAATTCCTATTCACTTCCCATTCCATTCACTATCTCCATGCGAAGGAAAGCAAGTCAAGGAAATGAATAGTGTCAGTTGGCACATGGGTCATCATTCAGGCTTTCCATGGCCAAGCCCAGTGGCGTGCCCAAAGGTGGGGTTTGAGGGTCATAACCCCCCCCCCCCCTTCCCCTTGGGCTGAACTTTACAGGTTCGATTCTCACAAATTTTTTTCATTTGGCCACAAATACAGGATGGGTTATCAGTCTGTTCATATGTTTCATATGTTCATATTAGGGTGGGTAATCAGTGTTTCATATGGCGGCCCCCCCCCCCCCATTCGGATTTCCTGGACACGCTACTGGCCAAGCCTATTACCTCGTCTCGTCTGTCAACACTTCGGTATTATTCAGTAGGACAAGGGAATGACTTTCAAGGTCTTCACGGAAAAACTCGTTCTTCGAGGTCCGGTTGAAGCCAGCACGATTCCATCGGAACGCCGAGAATTCAATGCCACCGTAGCAATATGTATGGCCTATTGTCTGAGTCCAGGTTTTTATCCCTCATGCTATGATGCTATGAGCTGAATCTAGAGACGAATGAATCAGATCTATGAATGTCTAATGCAAGCACAGCATTGTGAATTCCGCAGGTGCTGAGAGACAGGTGAGATTGGACAAATATTTAGTCAAATGCCCAATACCTGAATTTAATGAAAAAAATTTAATACCGAAAGTGACCCCATTAGTGTCAGATGTGACATCAAGAAAATATAAAAGAAAATAATGAAAGAAAAAGCTGAAAAGATTGTAGAGAAAGCATTTAATATACTGTATATAAACGATCGTGACTGACTGACTGACGCTAATTCTAACCATGTTCTAGAGAAGTAAACGGAGAGACATGGAAAGCTGAAATTTGGCATGGACGTGCCTACTGAGACACAAAGTTCAGGGAAAATGTCAAGTTTCAGATGCATGTACTGAGGGCATATTTTTTTTTGGGGGGGGGGTGACGTTTTCAAATAATTTTTTTGTCCTAGCGAATTGGCCAGAGATAGAAAGGTGAAACTTGATACATAAGTACCTTTTGAGAATCTGAATTAAGAAAAATTCAGGCTTTGGAGGTAAATGCCCGGGGGGCACAAATTTCACGGGAGATGTTTTCAAATATTTTTTTTTTGCTTCAGTCAAACGGATAGACATAGAAAGCTGAAACGTGACATGGACCTACTGAGACTCCGAGTTCAGGGAAAAATGTCGAGTTTTGGATACATGCCCTGTGGGCATATTTTTTTTGCAAAAGATACTTTTTCCGGATGTATACGATGTCCTAATAATTGATTTTTCCAGCCGGTGTTAAGATATTCAGATACTTATAATTACGCGTTTACATAGAGATGTTTATGTATTTAAGTGTGGTCCTGCTAAACCTGCTTTCAATTTAGAGAATTTGTTTACTATTAAGATAAATGTATTTACCTTCGCAGAAAATAGTAAAAGGTAAGATAATAAAAAAAAGGAGTTCTTATAGAAATGGGTCGAATTACTGCGGCAGGTGTAGGCACTTTTCGATTTCCGCCTATTTTAGAATGAGATTTCCTTGCTTGAAGCAGCTCGACCTGGAAATGGCAATTGAAGGGTTCGCTTGTAGAAATTGTGCAATTTTGCACATTTGTTCGATGCGGCCCAGTCAAAGTGGACCAAAGTATCCGCGTGGCCCTCACCTCGAAAAGCTCGGAGACCACTGGTGTATACCACTCGGATTTTGATCCCACAGTGAACGCAGTAAAGCAATCATTTGCCGAGACGGTACCATAATGTAGTGGAGATGCACGATGGCATTGCATATCGAAGGTACCGATACGGAAAAGTATTTTATTTTCAAATGCAATTGATATCCCCTCAGGCTGAGGTCTCCCTATTTACAGAAGAGTCCTTGAGAGCCGTAGACGAGACCGCGAAGGTGAGATGATGTGGGGAAACGGGCGAAACCAGAGGAATACAGAAGAGTGAAAGGGGCAATAAAAAAAAAAAGAAGAACCGGGAAAGAGATCAAGACACAAAAAAGAAATCACTTCTCTTACCGCTCCCCCCCCCCCCCCTTCTTACTTCCAAAGTCATCGGAAGAAGTTCCGTTGCATAAGAGAAAACCATCAGATCTCTCCTTCTATCCCAGTACCACTGAAACTGCGAACCGCTAGTTGACCGTGAAGGCTTCGTATGCGACCCAAGAGGGCAAATTCTACTTTCCTGTAAGACAGCGGTTCCCAACCTTTTCTTCAGTGTGACTCCATTCAAACAGCTTCAAATTCTCGCCACTTCGACATCGTGCACAGACGAGATCAACATTCGACTCTCGAAAATATGACATCGTAACGAATGTTGACAAAATCGTCCTTCATAAAGCACGATAATAAAAATCACCCTGCCAGGCGGCTTCGCGACCCCAAGGTTGGGAACCGCTGCTCTAAGGTGAAATATTTGATTAGTATTGAAGTATTAGCAAACCGCTTCATTTCAGTGCGGTCCACTCATAGTCGGTCACTTCCGGATGCGGTCACCGGCTCAAATAGTTTGAGTACCACTGTTCTACACTGTGAAGAACCGAATCACCGCCGGTTGAACAATTATTTCCAGCTGGGAAAAAGATAATACACAGCAAAGCAGAAACGTACAGTGAGGTACATATTTTGTACTTTATGAAGTACAAAAGGGTGTCGTAAAATACGTTCGTCGAAAAGGTACCGAAGCAAAATAAGCAAAAAGGTGTACCCTTCTCATCTCTATCCAAAAGGAACGGATGGGGTGCTTTCTTTAAATTCCCATGTGTACTCCATTTCGGGCTTAAGGGTAAGCTCTACCCTTAATTTCTAACCTGAAAATTGAGAAGTGCTCTCTTGCAAAAGTACTCCCTCTCACCCCAATAAACAATACGTATATCAATGAATTAAAAACTTGAAACTCCTTCCATTGAGTGAAGTGCGAAATTCACAATCAAGTACTAGACAGTACTTAATATCTGTATCTCAAAAACGGCAAAATCGATCACAAAATTACGAAATAAACTTTCCTATTATAGAATGGGCGCGTTTTCATGCAAATAGAGCAAAACTTTTGCACCATAGAGTCTCATTAAAACGGTCTGGTTACATTCTCTCAAGCCAGATGGCGAACGTGTCCCAAGCAATCGAGGAATAGGCGTTGTAAATGAGGACCCGATCCCCTCTTGTTCCCTGTTAGCCGGTCACCCAGGATGGTTGTGGCGAGAACCTTCGTGGATGTGAAGAACAGAGGGTCCGCATTCCCCTGAGAGGAATCCACGTCTAGATAGGGTAAGGGAAGGAGAAACACGAAGAAACCGGACAGTGAAGGCCTTTTCCTTCCATGGCGTGGAAATGACGACTTCATTCGAAAATCACTTCTGTATTCAATTACCTGTCCATGTAAACGGGTGGGTATGCTCCACGGCATGTTATCGGGAGTGTAAACTCTCTAGTGCGTCATGTACAATTTGCTCAAGAATGTTCCTGCGATATCCTGTCAAAGACACACCTCGGCCTGCAACACAATGACAATGGGAGGTGATAAAGAACCTACGTCATCTTTTGACCTCTGATTTTAAAAGAGAGAAGTTAATTCAATGGGACGGGTATCGGAGAATCATTTATCGGCGAGTCATACAGCTTTCCAAGACGAAAACGACTCCGTTTTTCTGGCCAATCATGGCCCTCATATCATCAAGAAAGTTTTCAAAGGTTTCTAATGTGAGATCACTATTCATTTTCTTTGAATGTACTGAAATCCATGCGTGGGAGAAATCACAGCAATTAGAGTCATGTTCCCTCCTCATTGAGTATCAACCCAGTCCGGTCTCTTCGATGGGCAAATATGAGAAAGCCTAACTGCATTCATATTTTCAGCGTGGAAATTGAAACAGAAACTCTCGTATCGGGAACGAAATAATTGAATGCTTTGTTTTTGATTCAAAGGTTCATGTTGGTCGTTGTACTGAAAGAGACGCCAAAATCTCTCTTCTGTAAATGGGTGGATATCTTACTATTGATAGACCCTGTTCGCATCCAAACAAAAATGTTCTGACGCTCGTGAGGAAGTTTCACTCCTCTCAGGGTCGGCCTTAGGCATGTGCCATGTGCCCCCGCACAGGGCGCAAATTCACCAGCGGTGCCAAAACGTGACTGAATATACAGGGTGGGCCAAAAAAAAATAAAGCTATCATATTTAGTGAGTTGTCAATCTGAATGTAGGCAGTCGATTCTGATGAAATTTGATAGGCACGTAGGATGGCTCAATTAGGGTTTGTGTGCCAAGTTTCAAATCAAAATTCCAAAAACGGTGAGATTGCATTTAATTTACTTTTCACTACAAAAAGTAAGTGCTCATTTTTCGTTCAAATGAAATCTCTCACAACTGACAAAAACAGACAAGCAAACAAACAAAACAAAAACAAAATGCACAAATGCCGAAAACGACAGCACACAATTTGGTTTAACTTGGTTCATTTCAACTGAAAAGGTGCTCAATGTGCCGTCCATTCTGTTAAGCCTCTCGTTTGGGACGCCACAGATCAAGAGCTCGGTCAATAAATCTTTGAGGCAGTGCCTCCCAATCTTCATCTATAGCACCATGCAGGGGTGGAAGGTCATGAATTCGGTCCTCCCTTTCATCCCAGCCTGAAGTTCATATCGTTGTTTTCGACAGCACATTTTGTTGTGGCTCATCAGAAAATAACTACAACTCCTATATTATTAAAGCCAGAAGGCTGAAATTGAGCTATTGTGTCAATCTATAAATTTAATCAG